TCAGGTGGTGCGGGTGGGGCCAAGGGGTTCAGAGTGTGGGAGGGGGCTCAGGGCTGGGGCAAAGGGTTGGGGTGCAGGGGGAGGACTCTGGCTAGGGGTGCGGCCAGGGATGAGGGATGCAGGAGGGGGCTCAGGGATGGGGCAGCAGGTTGGGGTGCGGGCTCTGGGGTGGGGCCAGAGATGAGAGGTTTGGGCTGCAGTGGGGACAGATGACTCCCCACAGCCCTCTCTCGCTGCAGCAGCTCAGGGCCGAGGGAGGGGTTCCTCACCCCTGGATGCGACAAGTCTAGGGTAGGTCCGTGTTGGGGCTGGGGGAGGGTGCAGGTCCGGGCTGGGGTTGGTGGGGCGGGGCGCCTCTCCCCACCGTGGCAGGTCCGTGCAGCTTAGAGGGAACGTAGCCACTGATTCTTCTAGCCAATCAGGTGGTGTATCCAATCAAGCAGACTACTACAGGCCAGCTATGTTCATTAGGTAGCCCAGAGACTGGCTCTGGTGCAGGCCCTGCTTCCAGACTGGCTTTGCTGCAGGCCAATTCCTGACACTCAGTCTCGCAAGAACATCAGCAAGATTGTCAGACAGTGTCAATTTTAGAGGCACATTTTGTGCTGTGGATGCTTGTCCTCTGGGTGCTGAGCTGAGATTATCGAACTTGTTTCACATAGTCCACCAACAGTAACAAATTTTTGTCACCATTGACCTGAGCTGGATTTGAACTGGTGAACTGGAGTTAAAAGGCTCTACATACCATTACCAGTCCAAGAGCCATGCTATCCCCTATTGATGGAGCAATGTATTTCTAAAAAGTAAGAGCCTGATGAATAATCCACAGCTTCCAGCGTTGCTATCCCCTGTGAAGTTACATAGGTGATGGGAATTTAAGAAAGAAAGTCTAGTGTAAACTGAGCAAAAAGATCAATAGTTGGGGAAACCTGGGGATTCTTGAAAGTTAAGGTGAGTGTTGCCAACTGGAAGTGGCTCTCAAGGCAGGATTTATCTTTATGTGGCTGAACAGTTTTGTAATTTGGTTAAGAAATAAATGAAAGTATGCACACCTCTTCTGGGAGAGGGGATAAAAGGAAAAAACTTTATAGAAACTTGTAACTTTGCCCCTTTATCCAGCTAACTGAAGGCTTGATCCTGCAAACACTTACACCTACTACCCAGTGTGAGTAGTCCCATGGGAGGAGTTATCTCAGGGCCAATCCTGCAGTCAGCTGCATAGCATGAAGCCCTCTGCATCCTTAAAGACTCTACTTCCAGCATTCACTTGCTTGTTAAAAGTAAGAGCCAAGATCTTTACCCCTAACCCTGAAAAGGTGGGGATTTTAATTTCTCAAGGTCCCTCATGTACAGTCTATCACAGGTTTCTGTATTTATTTATTAGTATTAATGATATGGGGTTTATGACACCCAGTGTTAATGCAAATTAAATACTCGCTTTATTCCCTCCCCCTGTCCACACAAAAAGAAATAGGTGCTCAAGTTGCTACATCCCCACAAGCTCCCAAAGTAACAGGAGGTTGCATATTGAATGAAATACTTACATGAAAACTTTCAACATTCACCTGCCATCAAAGCCTTCTGTTTAACCAAAGGCATTTTTACCACAACAGAATGGCAAACTGAATGGGATTTTTCTTCTCGTTTGACTGGTTCACTTTGTCTCTCAAGTTCTAAGACATTTGCTTGTGTTATTAACAAAACAAAAACTAAAGCCCACCAGAAACATGAGTGTGGGTGTCTATGCTCTTTTAAACCAATAGTAGCAAGAAGCTGGGTAGATCATGGGAGAGCCATTTATGCACCGCGTTTGGGAGAAGTCACTCTTCAGCTTTTCCAAACCTCTCCAGCACATCAAGGATCTACAACCTATCCTGAAGGATGGCCCATCACTCTCACAGATCTTGGGAGACAGGCCAGTCCTTGCTTACAGACCATCCCCCAACCTGAAGCAAATACTCACCAGCAACCACACAACAAAAACTAACCCAGGAACCTATCCTTGCAACAAAGCCCGTTGCCAACTGTGTCTACATATCTATTCAGGGGACACCATCATAGGGCCTAATCACATCAGCCACACTATCAGAGGCTCGTTCACCTGCACGTCTACCAATGTGATATATGCCATCATGTGCCAGCAATGCCCCTCTGCCACATACATTGGCCAAACCGGACAGTCTCTACGTAAAAGACTAAATGGACACAAATCAGACGTCAAGAATTATAGCATTCAAAAACCAGTCGGAGAACACATCAATCTCTCCAGTCACTTGATTACAGACCTAAAAGCCACAATTCTTCAACAAAAAAAACTTCAAAAACAGACTCCATGAGAGACTGCTGAATTGGAATTAATTTGCAAACTGGACACCATTAAATTAGGCTTGAATAAAGACTGGGAGTGGATGTGTCATTACACAAAGTAAAACTATTTCCCCATGTTTATTCCCCCCCCCGCCACCATTGCTCAGACGTTCTTGTCAACTGCTGGAAATGGCCCACCTTGATTATCACTACAAAAGGGTTTTTTTCTCCCCTGCTGGTAATAGCTCACCTTACCTGATCACTCTTGTTACAGTGTGTATGGTAACACCCATTGTTTCATGTTCTCTGTGTATATAAAATCTCCCCACTATATTTTCCACTGAATGCATCTGATGAAATGAGCTGTAGCCCACGAAAGCTTATGCTCAAATAAATTTGTTAGTCTCTAAGGTGCCACAAGTACTCATTTTCTTTTTGCAGATACAGATTAACACGGCTGCTACTCTGAAACCTGAATTTGTCTTGATGCCCATTTATGAAATCCTACTGTAAAGAAACCATCTGAGGCAGACAATCATAAATCTCACACAGGCAGTGGGATTAGGTCTTTTGCTTTCTGAAAGAATCCTTTCTTAACAGCAGGAATAGTTTATTTATAGGCTTTTCAAAAGGTATTGATTGCAGTATCTGAGACCCTCAAACATTAATTAGGTACCTTATTCTGTATGGGTCAGCCACAAGAAAGCAACATTCCTCTAACAGACAGAGTATAGGAGTATAGGGTGTTTTAATCTTTGTTCTCTCCCCACAGTGCTCCATGTCCTATGAAAGGGTAAAGTGCTATTAAGTAAGTCAGGGTGGGTTGGATGTCTCTCAAAAAGGACAGAGGTAAGGTTGTGGGGTTAGGCTGGTGTGTATTGTAACTCTGTTTCCAAGTACAGGGGTTTAAGTTTGTGTTACCTCAATTGTGTTATTTCCTGATTTTCAGATGTCTAAATGTCAGTGAACTTGACATTCTGGAAAAGCACAAGTTAGCACCAGGCAACCTTAACTCTGCATTAATGAAGTTTTTGGGCAACGAATTATACTATGCCATCTCACCCATCTGCTAGGATTGCTATACAAAGATTCTCACTGTAACATTTAATGTTGCTGCCAAATGGATGGAAATAAGAGGAAAGATATGGTGAGTGCTGACCAATCAAGAAAGGGGTAAATACATGTAAACTGGGAAAAGCTGGGTGTTTGTACTTCAAGAATGACTTCAGATAACTTACCCCGTAACACAGTAAAAAGAGTGATTTGAGTGTAGAAACAAGAAATCGTGAGAAGGTTAAGAGATAAGATTGGTGTAATGCATTGGTGTCCCTGATCCAGCCTACAATTCCATGTGAACTGCCTACAGAAGAATATTACTATGGTTTTGCCATTGAGTAAAGTGACTATGAAATAGCAGTTATATTTCCTCAAGAGAGTAACAGAAAAGTAATCTAAAGAGTGTGATGGGGCAAGGCCAGATGGCTACAGAAAAGTAGTGGGAGATAGATATATTAGCTCCAGGTTAAACAAATCCCTGGTACCAGGATGAGTGAAATGGCAGCTGCTCCAGGTCAATTAAGACACCTGGGGCCAATTAAGAACTTTCCAGAAGACAGGGAGAATGCTAGGTTGATTGGGACACCTGAAGCCAATCAGGGGCTGGCTGAAACTAGTTAAAAGCCTCCCAGTCAGTCAGGTGAGTGTGCATGTCAGGAGCTGTGGGAGGAAGTTGTGCTGTTGGAGAGACTGAGTAGTACACACCATATCAGGCACAATGAAGGAGGCCCTGAGGTAAGGGTGAAGTGGAGCTTGAGGAATTGAGGGCTGCTGTGGGGGGAAGTAGCCCAGGGAATTGTACATGTCATGTTTCTAAAAGGTCAGCTACCATAGTTGATACTATTAGGGTCCATGGGCTGGAGCTCCTCCCCTTATCCCCTGATTAATCACTGAGACTGGGAGACAACAGAGACTGTGCAAGGAAGGGTAACTTCTCCTCACCTCCCTTGCTGGCTTATGATGAAAATGGGTCAGTAGACTGTGACCCTTGTCTCTAGAGAGAGAAGGGTTATGTGGAGGGTCACAGTGAGCCTCTGAGGCTAGCGAAATCCACCAGGAAACGCGGGACCCACGGAGGCAAGGACAGAGCTTTGTCACAAGAGGTAGCACTGAAGCACTCAACTTCAGGAAAAGGGATTTTAAAATAATGAGGAAATTTTTTAGAATCAGCCTCAGGGAAAATAATTCAGGAAATTAAAAACCCAGAGTAACAGAATGAAGGCTGCTCACTAATATCCTGTTAATTACAGAAGGTGTGCATTCCCCAGAACAAGTGTTAAAAGCATTAGAGATAGGAAAAAAAGCTACTATGGCAAGGTAACCAAGCTTACGCAGTTCAAAACAAATACAATAAAAATGTAATGCAGCCAAAGTGATAATGATTGAACAGAACAAACTTTGTATGTGGTGTTGGTCAGGATATTAGTGACCAGATGCGTGAAGTAATATCTTTTATTGGACCAACTTCTGTTAGTGAGAGAGACAGGATTTCAAGCTTTCTGACCAGAGGAGCTCTGTGCAAGCTTGAAACTTCTCTCGATCACCAACAGAAGCTGGTCCAATAAAACATTATCTCACCCTACCTTGTCTCTCAGAACAAACTTTGGCAGGAATATTAAGAGGTTAAGAAATGTGAATAGGCAAAGATAATGCAACTTTATTTTGTATACTGTCTCCATTAGATCTCCTCCCCCTCCCCTCAAAAGACTTTCTTTGTGAGACCAACAGATCTGGTCTAGACAAGAAAAATGACATCGTTAGCAACAGCAGGTGCAGCTGAACCAGTGGTGAACAAATCCAGCCCAGACTAAAACAAATCCAGCCCTACTGAGCGCTTACCCAGCCTTCTTTATTGACCTTTCAATAGTTAAAGGTTCAGTCAGGGTCTTCTGCTCTTCGAACTATCTCATTATTACTGGCAACATACAAAAAAAGCTATTTTAGACTACTTGGTTAGTATAACAACAGGTGCAGGCTCAAGGAAGGAAAATAACCTTTGTCAAAACTTTTTCAAACAAACATCTTTAACTGCCTGCAACATTGGAATTTATTGCAAAAACAAATCTATTCTAAGATTGGTTACATGGAAGCTAGTGGGTAAGCAATGTTCTAGAATAAAAGCTGTCAGTGTTAAATATTTTCAAAATGGAAGCAAAAAATTCAGTTATATTATCATGGTTCTAGTATTTGTTTTGATTAAATGGGTTGGACTGAAGATATCTGACTGATGAAATGTGAAAAACCAGTAGATTATAGAACCATCATTATCACATTTGGAAGCATTTATCCACCTCAGAACTGCATGCCTGGCTCATTTTGGAAACCCCAACTACAATTTTAGGATTAGAAGAAAAAGATTATACAAAGTGGAAGAGTGAAAATCAGTTTGATGCATTAACAAAATGAAATGCATATCCCCAAACAATTACCCATTGTTAAAGACAATCTCCATTTTATAAACACAAAAGCAGTATTACACTGCTGAGAATGCAGCTTTTCAGGCCATCACTTGTAGGGTGGCTAAGACATCTTTACCTGACAACCTCATGAAACCACTGCAACCACCGGGGTGTCGATTACATTCATTTCTACATTGGATTGGTTATTTATAAATGGGAGTAAAGGCCAGTACTAGACACCAGAATCAAACGACAGCCTAACTCAACAATTCAAATCAAAACAACTTTAAACATTTCAGGACCTTCAGATGTTTCTAATCCTGGAGAATGAATGCACATGAAAGCAGACTTGTAATTCAATGTGGATGCCTGATCAATGAGTTAGATATTTGTTCATCATTTCTGTCATTTAGAAAGTAAATTAGCTGAGTAGGGAATTTCTATGTATAGTGTCTTCTGACTTTCTGAAGGCAAACAAGTATTTATGCCCTTCAACCTGGGCAAAATCAAGTCCAAAACCATATTAGCAGATAACGTAACGGACGAGTCGTGCACCACGGACTTCCCGCACTCTCTGGCAATGCCGGAGGATGTTAAGAATGGTGTGAAAGCGTTTATCCACCTTCAGTTGTGTGAAGTCTTTTATATCAGCCTCCACGATAAAAAATTCACCTGGAGAACAAACATACCACATTGAGATGGAAACATATTTTACAGGATTAATTTAGCATTTCAAAATGTAACACCCCAATCTCTTTCCACCATCACTTCACCTTGGTAATGAAATATACGTTCAGGAAGCTCCCAAGTGGTGCACTGGCATCACACTTTGTCACAAGAGTTCTGGTCCTGACCATTTTCTAAAATTAAATGCTGGAGGTAAACATGATTTTCTGCCACTGAAACTCTACAGCTGCTGCTGTTTGAAATGATTTGTCAGACACTGAACTAGAGATGCATAGTGCCATAGATCTTAAAAAATCTGTGGCTACAATTAAGACCATATTGTAAACCATGCAGACATTGTTTCATTTTAGTCCTATACTGAACTCAATAGAACAGAAGGGTGTATTTTATAAGGCTCAAATGACAGCCCAACCGCTTCCATAAAGCCATTGCATTCTAGCCACTGACTTTCCACAACTGCAGACCCAGATCTGTTTTGTGGTTCAAGCTCATTTCTGTCTTAAATCAGCTTTTTTATAAATTGAGGACAGAATTTAAATAATGTTACTTTAGTCATAAAAGCTATTTATAGTCACAAATTCAAATTCAGTTTATACATCAAATTCTAAATTAAACTGCAGTATCTAGCAAGACAGTTTATTTCTTTAGCACAACATGAAGATGAAGAATAGCTGTTGCTATACTTGTTTGCACTGGAAGCCCGGTTATGGGGAAATTGAAACGTGAAACTATCCAGCCAGACCACAAATCCTTTATCCTAAATAATACTTCTAGATGCTGGATAAAGAAGTCCACCAGGCAGTGCAAATACAAATAGGATTATGTGGCCCCAATCCAGAAGAGTTTACAGTCTAAGGCCCCAATTCTGCAACTACATCCACATGGGCGCTGAATGTATTTGCCAGATTGGGCTAAATTTATGTCATGATGCAACAAAGGAGTAAGACAGGTCGAGGGTTAAAGCAATAAGATTACATGGTTACTCATCAAAGTCTACTGCACAGCATGCTGGGACTGAAGGCCTATTGTTTGATTAGGTATTTTTAAAAAACAAAACAACCAAATAATACATGTCTGAGTATCTGCTGATACGTATTGCAGCAAACATTTGATCCTTGTCCATTTTATCTGCAGTGACTAGTAGGGCCTGTTTTCATTTAAGGTTATCCAGTGAATGATGTCCTGGTCTCCTCAGAAACAGACCTCACCACTGCCATCTATACCTTTGTCACCTCCAGGTAGATTGTTAAGGACTCTGGAGATTTTGCTGGTAAAGACTGGAGGGGCTGCTAGGACAATGTGTGACACTTCCTAGGAGTACCCAGGGCTGCGACGCACCTCACTATCACCTACCCTTAGTGGGAGAAAGCCCTTTTCTGTGACTGCCAAAGATCAGCTCCTCAACTCCACTGGCTACAGACAACACAAGCAATCCCCTCTAGGCCTAGCAGGCCCTGCTGTCACTCTACAGGTTAATGATATGCACATTCCAACCACCAAACCCTCCGAGCATCTCTATGGAGCATCCAGCCCCTGGTCTCTCGACACAGATTTGCTGCTTCCAAAGACCCTAGTTTACCAGTTCCACCTCAGATCACCACTTCACTTAACCCACAGAACGCAGATAGGTTTATAGTGAAATCAGGTATAAGTAGAGGACAGAACACGAAGCAATGGGCTTAAATTGCAGCAAAGGAGATTTAGATTAGACATTAGGAAAAAAACTTCCTAACTGTAAGAATATATGAGCACTGGAACTAACTGCCTAGGGGGGCTGTGGAATCTCCGTCATTGGAGATTTTGACAAACACCTGTCAGCGATGGTCTAGATCAGGGTTCTCAAACTCAATTTACCTTAGGGCCAGTGCCAGTCCTCAAATCCTCCCAGATGGCCAATAACGTCACTGAAGATGGTGTTCAGAAAAGAAAACGTTTATATTGTATTTTTTATTTCGAATTTCTTAGAAATAATAAAACTGTCATACAACTTTATACAATTCTTCACCTGCCAGTTCAGTTCTCTCAGTTTATTGATGTTTGGCCTCAGTGACTGAGCAGTTGAAACCTTCAGGATTGCAGCAAGGTGTGCATCAGAAAGTTGTGTTCAGTATTTTGACTTGTTTATAGTCATTGTGGAAAAAAAGTAATGCTGCCTCCATGGCTCACTCTGCCCTGCAACTAATGATGGTATCTCTGTACCTTTCCTCGAGTCAATGGAAGCTGCGGGTGGCAGCGTCTGCAGCAGACATTGTCAGCAGCGTGTCTGCATGCGTCTCTCCTCCGCGGGCCGCAGTGGGGAGGTTCTCAGGCTTCAGATGGCATGTGGGCCAGGACTTTGAGACCCTGGTCTAGATAATACTTAGTCCTGTCTCAGTGCAGTGGACTGGCCTAGAGGACCTATCAAGATCCCTTCCAGTCCTACATTTTTATTATTCCAGCAGCAAGCAGAAGTATTGGAAACAACCATTTGTTTACATATAAAATAAAATCATAATACGCATTCTACAGCCCAGACTTTATTAACTAAATCAGTGATACTCAGACCTCACTGGTACAGCAGCCAAATCAGCAATCAACATTACCCAAAAGAGCCACAGTAGTGTGAATATATATTATTCTCACAGCAAATAAATGAGTAACTTAGTGCAAGTTAGTAACTTAAATGGTTAATAACATAGTAAAAGCATCCTGACTGGTTAATAACTTAGATTGGTTAATAATTAAATCACACAGTGTTTTAATATCATGTGCTGCAAAGAGCCGCAGGAGATACACTAAACAGCCACTTGCAGCATGTGAGCCTCAGTCTGAGTATCACTGAACTAGATACGCTCATGTCTTGTAGAGTAACGCTCATCCAAAATCCTTGCAGCGCTTTATAGTCCGGTTCACTGTGACTCTCCTTTCATGAGACAGACATGTTGTCAGCTTGTCTCCTAGATGAACAATTCAGTATGTTTCTTTCCCCCCAAACATATACTAGTCCCACCCTTTGTCTTTACTCATAAACTGGACACAACTGCTGTTTGTTTAATCTTGCACATTTCATTTCTTGTAGCTTTCACAATCTCTTATTTTGCCTGTGCCTCAGTATGGAGATAGGCATACAGTGAGAGTCATACCTCTCTCTCTGTCTGGCCATTTGAGTATTGTGTATTGTATCTGTTACCTCCGGCCTGAAAGGAACATTTCCAAGGTATGTCACCTCCTGGTGACCTGCCTTAACTCCAAGAGCTTAAGAACATAATATTAAGGAGTTATGTAGCGATACTAAATTATCTGTACATACACTTTACAACGATGATGACAACTTGTGAATACAGGCTCTCAGTAGGGACTTCACATGGCACCCTTCAGTAAACTATTATGCATATATCCGACACAGGGGATCCCTGTAAAACTCTATGCACCCACTGTGCCCTCAGCCCATTGACACCTAGGGGTCCCTCGGTCACATCATGATAACTTGGTTCTATGCTGGCTGCCTATTCTCATAGGCTCCTGGACTTTAAGGTCAGAAGGGACCATTGTGATCATCTAGTCTGACTTCCTGCACATTGTAGCACACAGAATCTCAACCTCCCACTCCTGTAATAGACCCCTAACCTCTGGCTGAGTTACTTAAGTCCTCAAATCATGGTTTAAAGACTTCAAGTTACAAAGAATTCACCATTTACACTAGCTTAAACCTGCAAGTGACCCATGCCTCTGCCAATCCGACCTGAGGGGAAAATTCTTTCCCAACCCCAAATATGGCGATCAGTTAAACCCCAAGCATATGGGCAAGACCCATCAGGCAGATACCTGGGAAAGAATTCTCTGTGGTAACTCAGAGTACACCCCATCTAACTCAGAGTATCCCATCTCTGGCCGTTGAGGATTTTTGTTACTGGCAGTCGCTGATGGATCTCATCCCACTGTAGGCCGTCCCACCATACCATCCCCTCCATAAACTTATCAAGCTCAGTCTTGAAGCCAGTTAAGTTTTTGTCCTCATTGCTCCCCCAGCCTAGAAGGCTGTTCCAGAATTTCACTCCTCTGATGGTTAGAAACCTTTGCCTAATTTTGAGCCTAAACTTGTTGATGGCCAGTTTATATCCATTTGTTATTGTGTCCACATTGGCACTTAACTTAAATAACTCATCTCCCACCCTGCTATTTATCCCTCTGATGTATTTATAGAAAGCAATCGTATCTCCTCTCAGCCTTCTTTTAATTAGGCTAAACAAGCCAAGCTCTTGCAGTCTCTTCTCATAAGGAGGGTGTAATATATACTGATTACAAATTGAGAGTCCTTAATGGTCTGGGACGCAGTTATTTGAGAAATCCCCTTTCTACCCATGTCCCATTGTGGCAGGTAAGATTTGCTGGTCTTCTGCTGTGGATAGTGCCTGAGGGTGCCAGCAGGGCGTTGTCAGCGGAGTTTCCCTAAGCCCAAGTATGGTAACCGTGCACAGATTATTAACCATCTTGACATATCTGCAATTTATAAATTTAGACACTCACCATCTGAGACTGCTTTATAACATGTCTAAGAGTCTCAAAAGTGACTAGAGATTTTGAATGCTTCAATTTTTGGGCACCCAAATTGAAAATTCTTAGAAGGGCCTAATTATCTGAAACCAATGAGCATCTACCTTCTGAAAATAAGGCCCTTTTAAGGTGTTTGAAGTTGGACAACCAAAAAATGAAGGCACCCAAAAATCACTAGTCTCTTCAGAAAACCTTTCCCCCTTTCCTGTACATTTCTGCTACAGCAATCTAGATGCTCTAATAAAAAACAGTTACTAATCTTTCGTAATAGTTTTTCTTTGAGATGTGTTGCTCATGTCCACTCTATGTTAGGTGTGTGCGCACTGCACGCACAGTTGCTGGATATTTTTCTCTTAGTGGTGTCCATAGGACCGCTCTAGCACCTCTGGAGTTATACGCGTATGCGCTGGTATAAGGGGTGCTGCCAGCTCTGCACCCTCTCAGTTCCTTCTTGCCGATAACTCCAATAAAGGAATAGGAGGGTGAGTCATGGAATGGGCAGGAGCAACACATCTCAAAGAACAAAAGTTACAAAAAGTTAGTAACCGGTTTTTCTCCTTCAAGTCCTTGCTCATGTCCATTCCATGCTAGGTGACTCACAAGCAGTACCATCGAAGGCAAGCTTAGAGTTTATGGACGTGCTGACTGCAACACCGCTCTTCTGAAACTGGCATCGTCATGGGCTTGCTGGGTGATGGCATAGTGGGATGCAAAGATATGAACCTATGACCATGTTGCGGCTCTGCAGATGTCCTGGATTGGTATTTGCGCAAGGAATGCTGCTGACGAAGTCTGAGCTCTCGTGGAATGAGCACTCACAATGGCTGGAAGCAGAACCTTCGCCTGCTCTTAGCAAACCCGGATACATATGGTTTTCCAAGACAAGATTCTTTGGGATGACACCGGCAGCCCTCTTATCCTTTCCGCTACTGCCACAAAGAGTTGCATAGACTTGCTGAAGGGCGTAGTCCTTTTGATCTAGAAGGCCAGGACCCACCTAACATCTAATGTATGAGCTGACGTTCCTCAGCGGTCTTGTGAGGTTTTGGAAAGAATAGAGGCAGAAAAATGTCCTGATTATTGTGGAATTGCAACACCACCTTTGGTAGGAAGGCCAGATGAGGGCGCAGCTGGACCTGGTCCTTCAAGAACATCATATACGGGGGTTCTGATGTCAGGACTTTGATCTCAGAGACCCTTCTGGCTGAGGTGATCGCTAAGGAACTGAGAGGGTGTGGAGCTGGCAGCACCCCTTATACCGCTAGAGCCAGTATTACAGATACCACTAAGGGAAAAATCTCTGGCAATTGTGCATGTGGCATGCACATATCAAGCATGCAATGGATATGAGCAAGCACTCAAACAAGAACAAAAGTTTTATAAATACATACATACATAAATTAAAAAAGAATACCTTTAGTATCCTTGGTTTCTTCTTCCAGGAATCTGTGGTAGAGATTTCTGACAGCAGAGCTCATAGATTTCATTGGCTGATGTAAGATCTTATACTTGCTGACCACTGCTTTATTCAAATCTTGAACAACTCCATTAATTTGATCATATGTTAAACGACCCCGCATGTACCTGAAAAAAAATAATAATTAAAAACTGGTAAGAAGGAAATCACAGACTTGGAGCGCCTTTTGAGTCTATTTCCCTTTCTTTCTCTCCAATGAGCCCTAATTCCTAAAAGTCACACCCAATTAAGAATTTCCTCATGTACTTATAAATACAAAAGTAGACAGTTCATTTTGATCAATTTCTTTGATCCCTTTAATAGCTATGTTGAAAAAAAACTTAACATAACTCAAAAGAGAAAATCTAAACAAGATGAAAAAATTGTTACATTAAGGAGTGAAAAATATCCAGCGCCCAAAGATTGCCAGAAACATTTTTAAAATAAAAAGAAAAGATTGTGATTATTGAATACCCAGCTCATGCAACTACAGAAGTTAAATCAAGCATATCTTCTTAAGAACAAGGCAAGCAATAATTCAACTAGAATATTTAATTTACTTTAAAAGATAATGGTTTGCAATTTGGAGACCAAATGGTCTCCTTCTCTAATTTTCGAGGGGTAGTTACTTTACTTGTAAGTTATGGTTGTTTTTAATCGTGCTGGCCACCTAACTTTAGAGCTGGATATAGAGTTCTCCCTTACAAGCTTTTAAAATACTTTGTAAAACTTCTATCAACCATGATCAGATTTGCTGACAACAGGCTAGAGGTATAGGTAATACAGGAAGACAGAAACAAAATAATATTGAGATATTAGAACAATGAATTGCTTGCAACTAGGGGCTATTCAGTATTCATAAAGTCATATATTCAGGGAGAGGAAATAAACAGTACTGATACAAATTGGGAGACATTTATATAAAAAACAGCGAATCCAAGACAGATCTGGGCTGACTGACAGCCAACTTAATACAAGGTAAACTGGAAAGCTATTGCAATAAAAGCCAATGCTAAACTCAGAAAAAAAAAAATATAGAGAATTTATGTGGGTGATTTTTCAGCTGTTATTGCATATTTTGAAATGATGTGTGTTGTGAAACTGCCCTGCCATAACTTTTTCACATAAGGCTATTTTGGAAAACTGTCATTCACTCTCCTTCATATCTAAATTACAGTTATGAATAAATGAATTGTGAAAATAAAGCACAAGCCCAGAAGAATGGTGGCCGTCAATGTAACTTACCGCTGAAGCATTAAATACTTTCATATTTACCTGCTGTTTTGCAAGTTCAAAAAAATAAAGCTACTATTTAACAGCAACAATCATCTCTGCCCTCTCTGTAATTACAAATTAATTCTCCAAAACTTTGCAAATTGATTCAGCCCTGTTGAACCAGACCTAAAAACTGTGCACTAAAGGTCCAATCCTGTTACTATTAACTTCAACAAAAGGAGGATTGAGCCCTTAACTTTTCTGCTATTGGGTATGTGGTTCCACTATGCCATCCATCAGCTGAAGTGGAAATCTTTTGAAAACTCATATCTTAAAGATACGTAACCTACAAACACTGTTTTAACCCATTAACCATAAAAACAAAAAGTGAGATTCCATTTTCACTCTATCAACACAGCCCAAACACTAAGTATTGTGTCCCACTTGTTTTACATTTTAAAAGCTGGCAACACATTACTCCACATTCACTATCCTATGTAGTGGACAGCATGATATATATATGCTATATTTTACCAAACAAGTATGATTTACCATAAATCATTCAGAAGTTGTAAAATGCTGAGTAATCAATCACACAAGTTGAAATGTCATAACACAACTATGCAATACCTGCATTCCCACCCCCAACCCTCCCAAACACTATTCAAACTACTGTGCATATGTTCCCTGCCAATAGATTCATGGACACTGAATACAAAAGTCTCACAACCCAAAGTTATAATTTTCACTAATGGGTGATGTAAATATATGTTTATAATTTAAAGTGCTTGACTTCAACATATTATTAAGATGCTAACGGATGATTCAAAGCTAGTACCAAAAGGAAAGTTCTAAAATTGTTACTGAAATAGCAAAGTTTTACATATCCATGCACAAGGCCAAGTGAAACTTGTTCTTAGCATCTTGATTGCCTTATGGTCTAGACAGCCATTAAAGAAAAGAAGTGAGATTCTGAACTATGCATCTTAGAGGCACAACACAGAACTTACAACCCAGAGGGAGGTAGAGGTTACGGTGGCTTTAAACCAGTCTTACACCCTACTGGTTTGGGGCTATCCAGAGCAGCTGTGGCGCATCCCCCAGCATCATTTAGCGCAGTGGTTCTCAAACTTTTGCATTGGTGACCCTTCACACAGCAAGCTTCTGAATGCGACCCCCCATCTTATAAATTAAAAACACATTTTTTTATGTTTAACTCTATTATAAATGTTGGAGGAGAAGCGGGGCTTGAGGGTGGAGGCTGACGGCTCAGCAACTCCCACGTAATAGCCTCACGACCCCCCTGAGAACCCCTGATTTAGAGTGTCTAAGTTATGGCAGCCTCCCCAAGATCTCTACAGAACTATCTGCTGTGATCCTAACTCCAACACACCCTTCCAACCCTCAGTTGCACCCTCAGTGCCTGTCCTTGCAAAAGGAGTCTCCAGAGAACAGTGTGTGGTTGTCTGCTTCAATTTCTGAACCAAGGAATTCTTCCCAGGCCAGGTCTGCAGCTTTTAGAGAGTTTCTTTATGCTGCTCTGGCCCCTTTACCCTGTGTAAAAGGGGCTGAAGTGGGAGTGAGATTCTCATCCAGTTTTCCACGCAGATGAAGAGTACTGAATGAGCATGTTCTTTTCATCTGCATTAAATGAACTTTCAAGCAGAACTACCAGTAGGTAACATCCAAGGCCCTGAAGGCCAAAAGCATGAAGGAAAAAAAAAGAGAAATATAGAATGTGTCCCTACCCCTTCTGTTTTAGGCAGTTGAAACATTGACAAGCTTACTATTTTAAACACTATAATAGCCAAGATTTTTGGCTGCAGAACACTCTAGACTAATCAGAAGGTAGGAAGGCATGCACAGCTAAATAAAAAATGAGATGGGAAGCAACAGACATGCTGTTTTAGCAGTAGCCAACATTAATTCCATTTCATTAATTACTATGTCATTATGAGTCATATTTCCTTCCACAATGTGTTCCCCACAGAGAACCCTGAAACTTGACTGGATTTAACTTTTAATTCTGTTCAGTACCAGTTTTAGGAGGATGTAGAAAAATATATATTTGTGAGAAGTGTCTGAGTTACAATCTAGTTTTGAAGAGCTTTTATTACTATTAGTGCTTCAGCACAGTGAAGGCTGTAGGACAAGCAGATTAAATATGAAACAAATGCTGGAAAAGAAGCAGTACTCCATCAATTTAATCTGACTACAGAAATTAAATCTTTAGAAGATTAAAAAAGTAGAACATTCTGAAAACAGAGTGAAGGCAAATCAATCAGCATTTTGAAATTAATGGCACAAAAGCGTGAAACAGTATTACTATATGTCACACCTGAAAAGTAAGTGACAGCCAACATTAAAGACAGCAGAAAACAAGTCAGAATTATTTTGTTCATGGGATTGATCTATATTAGGTGCCAGGTTTCCAGAATCAGGACAGATATTCTGATTCCAAATTAACTTGTCCCTAAATTACTTGTAGCCAGTTATGTATCAATCAATGGCATTGTGTTTATACAAAAACAAAAACCAGAAGCAAACCACAAGCCTATGGTGAGGAGATACTATGCGAATAAATAAGGAAATACGTAAGTAAAGATAAATTGTGCTCTATAAAAATCATACACAAGTTGTATAACTAAAACTACTTATTTTGCATTCATACAATTATTTTTCATTGAAAAACATACCACAACACTTTGCATTTCACTGGTGTGTATGTATATATAGTTCAGCCACATTTGGTGTGGAGGTGTGCAAATAACAGAGAGCACAGTTGTAGGAGGATTATGTACTCTATATTTAGATGGACTTTTTCTATTTTGTGATTGTGAACAATACCTTGTTTATGTTCATTGACTGTATCTTTATTACTATACATCCTATTTGCTTTTTTCTTTACCTGTGAGGGAGAATTTCTCAAATTACAAGAGTAACTCTGCAGAGTTTTTCTCTGCCTGATCCTTCCAACTGTAGGTAGGAACAAGCTATCCCCTAATCCTCTTATGTTCCCATCTGACCATTGCTAAAATCCAGACACAGCAGAAACCTAACTGAATCAAGTTAACTATTATATTTTTAAGATCAGATTAATTGAAATTCTTCCATTGACTTTAATAAAGTTAAACCTCAAAGCTACGAGAATCCAACAAAAGTGGTTATGTATACAGTATTATATTATGCCTAATTAGTTCTCTTTTAACATCAGACAAGCATCAGGCATAACAGTCTAATTTAAAAACAAAAAAAGCCATTTATTTATTACAATTGCATTTTTCTTTTAATCCACAATTTATCATGAACAGTAAAAAACACCCCACAACACTACTTTCCTCAAAGAAAGCAATTAATCTACCATTTATATCAGAGGAACAAATTCTTCCAACAGCAAGTCACCAAAAACAAAGTTTGAGAGCGGAAAATATTTTTTCTTCAGTTACCAAGCTCTGAAAATGGGGACTTATAACGTATACCAAGAGCCTAAAAATGTCACAACCCCTAAGAAGCTTGAGAAAAGTCAAGGAACCACTTAAATCTGTCTTGAATTTAAAGTATTTAAAGTACACTGAGACATTTCACTTTCACTGACCTAGCTTTGAAGTTTATTCCAGAAGTTTTAACTTTACATGTACATTTCTCATTGAAGTAAGATATTCTAAATGATCCAGATACTTTTAAATCTGTGCCCAAATACATCCCATATCTTCGATATCTGCTGCTTTAAAATATCAAGGCGGTGCAGATTATACTATGACAATTAGTGCCCTAAAAATATCTCCTGCATAACAACACATAACAGAGCTGGAAAAGCAGCTGGATCTTGTCAGCTGATAATTCCCACAGCCTGTGGGAGCTCTCAGCTGTCACAGAACCAGCAATCCTCTACTGGCATAATCTCTGGGGTCCA